CATAAAGCGCCGCCATATCAGGATCAACACTCGCGCAATCCCGCTGCCAATCTGATGTAACAACAAAAGTACGATTGATCCACTATACAAAACAGAAGAATTAAAATATATGATAATATATATATTTAAAAAAATTGAAATGAAATAATTTAACTAAAATTTAGTAAAGGACTTATACAATCGGTATTGCCACGCATAGGGACCGCTTGCTCGTCCGATAGAGTCTCACCCAAAACAATAGGATGAGAAACCTGAGTGTACCACTCTGAGTAATGCTAATCGGCCTCCCCTAAATCACGTATGGTGGTGGTCAACATAGTGGTGTTGAGCACGCCACAATCGGGAACTGCTTCCACAAACCTACTGCAACATCAACAACATGTTCAACCTTGTAGAGCCTAGACTCCCAAACACGCATAACAGAAGTTGGCGACATCATGGGGGAGGGGGGGAGGAATAGTCTGGACAAAGCCCAGCTGAAGCAAAAATCGCACAGGCAAGTACGACTCCATAATATCGCGGTAAACCAAGGTATCTGCAATAAAGGGTCCTACGCTCTATCGAATTTGGGTTGCGGCCGTATGGAAACCTGTAAGGGGAGCAACAGTGCGGTTCAGTGAAAAACCGCATCGAACCGCAGAAAACCGAAAACTGAACTTGGCCAAAAAGTAACCAAACTACACCAAAATTTTAGAAAAACCAAACTGAAGCCGAACCAAAATTTTTATACACTAAATTAACCGAACTAAACTGAACCGCACCGATATGCACGGTTCGGTTCGATTTTCGGTTTTGTCTCAAGTTATATATACACTTTTATGCAATTTGGTGCGGTTCGGTGAAAAACTACACTGAACCGAACAAAACTGAAAATCGAACTTATGAAAAACTATAACTGCATTGCACTGAAATGAAGGAAAAAAGGAAAGGAACCGAACTGAACCGAATTTTTTTACATTACAAAAATCGAACCGAACCGCACCGAATTGCACGGTTTTGACTCGATTTTTTTGTTTTCGCTCGGTTTTGCTCACCCTAGCAACTAGTGCACCTGTTCAAAATTGCATAAAAACATTTAGGGTGTGATTGGATATCATCTAGTATAAAATTTAACTAGTTAAATCCAGTAAAGTGAATGTCTAAACCTAGAATTTACTAGTTAAAGTATTCCCCTTCCCATATAGACCCCCACTTCTCCCTGCATTGAACAGAGACATTGTCGGCCACTCACACACAAGTACAATAACATTAATA